CCTCCGAAACACAACACAGTGAAATTGCATTTTTAATTAAAATCTGTGTCTTTGCAGCATAGCCTAGCACAGAATTGCCATTATCAAGGAAAGATCTGTACTATATATCCAGGAAAGTACATAGAGAAGAGCTTCTGCTGCAAACATTCAGTACTTACTGTGTTGCGGAAAGTGAGCTGTAAGAGCTTCTGTACAAATGCTTAGTCTCTAAGTTCAGAGACTGCTCAAAGTACACATCTTTCCACAGGAACAGATATCTGACAATTTGATGGAACCTTTGCCTCCTTCTGTTGACACTCTTTTTCAGGCTGAAGCCAGCTAGGCTGCTTTGTCTGCAGCTGAGTCAAGCCAGAAGGCTGCTCAGAGCCCAGCTGCTGGTTGTCACATCCCAACCCACTCTCCTGGCCTCGGGCTGTTTCCCTTTCTCTGCAGGATGTCACTGCCCTTCCTTCCCAGACCTGCCGACATAACCCCAGGTGTTTCCACACCCTATCAGATCTGCCAAAGAGATTCACATTGAACACTCTCACTGGCAAAGGTTTCCAAGACCCTCTGGATCCAGCTTAACTGAAGCAGACTGGGAAGCACCTACATGTGGTGCTACATCCCATGCTCCCAGAAGAGAGGCAATAATTCGAGGTGCTGGCTGGGGTGGAGAGGCAGCAGAGGGAAAAGTCTCTCCAACCAGCTGGGTGATGACCAGAGGAGCAGACCTGGCCTCACTGCATGCAGTAGTGGGCACTGCCATGGAGCTCAACTTTGCGAGTGCCAGGAGGCCCTGACCCTTGCAGTGGGGAAGGTGGCTGTTCATCCCTGTCACAGTACAAGATGAGGAGGCAGGGCAAGCTGTCACACCTGCATACATTTTTGCTTCTGCAGGAAAAAAAAACAAACATTTTTATGTGCTTCATTCCTTCTCCCTCTGACTAATATAAACCAGTAGAATAGAGTCAAATGTAATTGCTATTCAAGCTCAACACTCTGAGTGGGGAATGCTGATTTTAATAATATTTAAATGATTTCTATAGTATGTAAAGAAGAACTTAACATGACCTGAAAGCAGATGAATATTTAACAAGAAATCAACATTAGCCACTAAGCACTTTTCTCAGCTGATTTAATTTGTATACATTCATGCACAGACAGCAAGTCCAGTCAATAGGACTTGTACAGTAGGATTAAGCTAGCAAATCAACTAGCATTAAAGCTTTCTAGATCCAAACATCCAAAGTTATTTTCAAGAGAAGTAATGAAAGAGAGAAGAAAGGCAAATACTGTAATAGCATTAATACTGGAAAAGCAAGAAAGGAGAAAATTGGTAATTATCCATCAGTATCCCACAAATAATTCTCTTAACTGCAGTTATGTAACAGAAAAAAATAATTAGAACGCTTGCCACTTAAAAGACAATAAGAGCAATAGTTATTTATAAAAAATAAGCTGGATAAGCTTACGACACAATTTCCTATTTATCCTGATTATGTTTCTGCTGTCATAATGCACACATTGTTTTGACACCATTCTATGAAAAGAAAGCAGAAGAGGAAGTTCAGATGCAGACGTAACCAGAAGAAACAGTAGTGACAGTAGGAAACAAATAACATCCTGATCAAAAACTTGCATGAAACTCAGAGAAACTGACTGTGGAAAGGAGTACATTTTATTGCGCTCACAGCAACCAAGTGTTTGCACTGAGACAGGACAACAAAGAAAATTACTCCTCTGTAGGTTATTGACCTGTATGAAAAAGTATTAAATTAGGGGTTAGGAAAGCAACACATCAGATTTATAAAGTTGAGGAAAAACAGCAGCACTGCCATCTATCTCATTACTGGAAACATCTGACAAGAGCTTATTTGAACTAACTACAGAGAAGAAAATGCATGATCAAAACATCCCAGAGACTGCACTCCCAAGGAGCACAGAAATTGAAAGCTGTAATCACCAACCTTGTGAGCAGCAAAAGCTATGATGTTCAGCATCCTATGGAGTACCTACAAGATTCTTCTGGTGCCTAATAAGCTGAATGTTTGCCACTGCCCTTCCCTCAGGGGGCATCAACATCACCTCTCTTATCTCCCTGGTCACCAGCAGTCTTGAGGTGTGTCAGAATTTTATCACTTTGAAATCTCTGCTCTTATATTTGTACTGGTTGAAACTGATAACCAGGGGTAAAAAAAAATAATAAATTACTGAATTACTGCAGGGCTATGAGTGGAGTTATCAATTGGACATCATTATTATTTCAACTTCATCTCTGTAGGAAAACAGGTGAAAAAATATAGTCAGGACAGAAGGCAAGAAATAATATACAGAAATCTCAAACTGGGAAACCTCCCACAATTACAACTATTATGTCTGGTAAGAAGGTGTTATTGTATGTGTGGAAAGATAGATTTTGGAGCTTTTCACACTGATCACCATTCTTGACTTCCTACAACTTCTGCTAAGCCACACTCACAGGTTGCAATGAAAATCTGGATGATCTCCATGTCCGTGCAAAAATTTAAATGCCAGAATCTCAATCCACTCTAACAAAGAATATCTGACTACCCAAATTCTAAAACATAGGTACTTGACTATTCAAATATTCCTACCAGGAAAGATCTATTGGATGTATTTTTAAAATTACTGCCTTTTGGTGCAGGCTGTCACAGAGCAAAACAGCCCCATGGGTGTGGCCAGCCTGGCTGCCAAACAGTGGAATAAATCAAGTCATCAGCAGCCTTTGAGAAATGTACACTTTTAAATGACAAAGACAGACTTAGGATAAAGCTGGTATGGTTGTCTTTCTGGCATGTCTGGTATTAAAGTGTGCTTCCTTATTCTCCAGAAAGCCACAACTTCATTACGTATCTTCTGAGCAGAAGTCACTGCTCGAGGTTACTCAAATACAAATCGAGTCAATATGATACAATAACAACTGTTGGCATTTCCAAGCCTGACATAATAGGTTGATAATTCATTTCCATGTGAGCTATTGCTCAATTCTTGATCTTCAATTGTTTCACTGCTCACAAAACTGTTTGATAAAACAAGGAACGTGCTAACACGTGCAGTGAATGAAAGTTCTTCAGCACTCAAGAAATGGAGAGATAACACAAATTTCCCTCACTGTTTTTGCAGAGCCTCTCTTTTCTCCAAAACAGAGGTAAGTAAGGCCCTGGAGTACACTCACCAGAAAAATAAATCAATAAATTGCAGGAAGAAGCCCAATAGGAGTTCAGACAGTGTTCAGTCTCACAAGAGAATCATCTTTAGCTGATGGAGAAAAGCACACAGGATTCTCCCAGGTTTTGAAAGCCAAGGAAAGAAGGTACATTCTGAATGATACATTAAAAACGTCCACCATTACACTGGCAGAAAATATTACTTGAATAGAATCAACCAACAAATGGATGTAAGGGAAAAATTTTGCTCTCCCAGGCACATTAACAATATGCAGTGAGTTTTTCTATCTCTGTATTTTGTGACTTACATCAATATTTTTTTATATTTGTCTTGATTTTGAAGCCCATTAATATTTTCATAGTGTGCTGATGCATGTTGTGCTGCTTTGCTTAAATTTGTAACTGTCTTGACGTATCAAAGACAAAATAGATCAGTCTATTCCAACAGGGTTTATTTCAAAATGCCTATAGAATGAAACATGCTAATGGTAAAGCGATCGTTTTCAGAAGTTAATTGGATATTTCTAGTGAAGTTCCAATTTATTTTTACTTCCACATAAATGGTTTTTATCAGTCACAGTGTAACATTTCACAGACATCGTAAAAAAGACATTTATTATTTCAAAGGGAATAATAACAATAGAAAAAAAATACCCAACCAACCAAATAAACAAAAAACATCTAGACCATCATCATCCCTATGGCTTTTTCAGTGAGGAAAGGTAAACAAACAGTCATGGCTTTTACTTCACACATTTTCAGGCTCCAACCTGGTTTTTGCTGTGTACAAAAGGGGATGAAGGTATACTGGGTAAGCCAGATCACCCCATCTATTTTCACATTCATCATTTCTAACTCTGCTGCTCCCAAAGGCAAAGATTTTCCTGAAATTATCAAAATGTCACTATTTTCCAAAATTCAAACATTCAAGAACTGGGTGTATTTGTACCAACCAAACAGCATGATGGAGACCACTTTATGTATCGCTGCAAAATATTTATAATATTTTCACTTTTTCCTTCTCTGAAAGCCCTTGCCTGGTCTCCTGAGCCCACAAAGAACTTTTCACAAATGCAGAGGCGCATCTATTCTAACTGAATTCAGAAAAACCGTCACACTGCCACAATTTTGTTGCAATCAGAAAAATTCCTTCTTGTCAGTGTTCAAAATACTCTTTTATAAGGACTCTCCTAATCACAGAAGGATGGAAGTCGGTGATGTATTTTAACTGACTTCTCAGGGCCATCTTTTGCATTGACAAACTAAGGGTCACTTCATTCCCTTGTCACTCAACTTCAGTTATAGACATTATGCACAAGACTTATTTTTCAGAAATTTATTTTAATCTTACTAAGTAGTACCACCACGTGAACAGAGCAGATTATTTTAACTCCGTACTTTTCTATGTTGCTAGTACTGATTAATTGTAGAAATAGAATCTGGGAGAGAGAAATCGCAACAAGAGCACTTCTGATTGCTTTTCTGCCTGAGGAAAACGTCACTTTAGTTTTCTCCGCGATGAGATGCAACCTCCCGATGACATCTACTCGTAATTTCTCCCAGCAAATCCTAAGCGTTAGAACACAGCCCTAACAACAACACACCTGGTGCCGATCTGCAGGGCAGCGCGGCGCAGACTCTCCCGGTGACACGGTGGGACGCCCAGCAGCAGCCCCCCCATACACCAGATGCTCAAATTGCCCCGGAGCACCCGGGCTCCCCTCCCCTGCTCTCACTTCTCCCCGTCCTCCTCCCCAGCCGCGTACTAGGGCAGACCCGAGCCGAGGTGATGCCCGCAGGACCGGCCGTCCCGGCACGGACACGCGTTACCTGCACGCCTGTGGGTCCCTGCTCGGCGGGGCTCTGCCGGCCGCAGGAGCCCGGCTCCGGGCGCAGCTGCCCCGCAGCTCCGCTGCCGCCCGCTCGAGCGCCACCCCCGCGGGAGCCCGGCCCCGCCGGCTGCCGCCCCCTTGCCGTCCCGGGGCCGCGCTGCGCTTGCAGCCTGACAGAGGGCTCCCGCCCGCCGGGACGCGCCTCGAGCAGCAGCTGGGCAGCAATAGCTCTGAGTATTCTCCCCGAAGTGCTGCCCTGGGGACAGTGTAGCAAGTTCTGGGTGTGAATTGGTTGCGTTGCAATGAAAACTCGAAAGTTAAGACCTGGCTTGTTAGGGTGTATGGAGGAATCATCCAGCCCTGTACATCCGTTTGCGTATGATTGTATTAGATTACTCAAGCTTTGAAAGCTTCTTGAGTGATCTCGAAATTTTAGACATTGATTTTGATATAGTTTTTACGTTATTGCAAAGGACTCTAGACTATTCACTCTGAAATCCTTTTTTGGAAGTCTCATTACAACCAGTGCAAATCTACCTGAGCCCTTATCCTTCCATTAACCTCCAGCCAAATGATGAGTGACCCTCACAGAGGTTTTCCATGTATAGATAATACTCAGGACTGGACAGGTTCAGCTAAAGATGAGCATTACATGTGGGTTTTTCAATGCTTACACTACAAAGCACTACACTACACTACACTATGTCAAGCTTTTTATCATCATTATATATGATAATAAATGAAGGCAGCGGAAAAGTTGGGATTTTATACTATTTTAAATTGGGGTTCTGAACCTAAAATCCCCTTATTTTACTATCTTCATTTTCCTGATGTGAACAAGAATGCCTGGAATCTGTTGCCAAGATTTTTTATCCATTTATTACAGTAACTCAGTTTACAATGGGAGCTTTAAATACCTGAGAACTCAGTGGATGGTTTAAAATTGGTTGATTATCTTGCATTTTTATTAGACCTTTCCAAATATAGTATGAGAGCTCCGGTTTGGAGTTCTGCCATTACATTCTCGAAACTCTAGAATCCTTTTTCCTAGAATATAATTTACTACATCTCCTTTAATGATTAGTCACTTTGTCATTTATTTTGTCACTGGGTCTTAAGGTTTGATTTCTCAAAAAAAAAAAAAAAAAAAAAAAAAAAATCACCAAACCCCTAATGACTACTATTTTTAACTTAATTATGGAAATAAATGGCAGACATCTTTCATTTTCTGAATCACAGAATCACAGAAACACCAAGGTTGGAAAAGACCTACAAGATCATCCAATCCAACCATCCACCTATCACCATTTAGCTCTACCACTATTTAGCTCTCACTAAAACATGTCCCTCAACACAAAATCCAACAGTTTCTTGAACACCTCGAGGGTCGATGACTCCACCACCTCCCTGGGCAGCCCATTCCAGTGCCTGACCACTCTTTCAGAGAAGTATTTCCTAATATCCAGCCTAAATCTCCCCTGGTGCAGCTTGAAGGCACTCCCTCTTGTTTTATCACTAGTTACACAAGAGAAGAGGCCAACCCCCAGCTCGCTACCTTAATGTAGGTAGAGAGCAATAAGGTCTCCCCTGAGCCTCTTCTTCTCCAGGCTGAACATTCCCAGCTCCTCCAGCCCCATTCCCAGCCTCCTCATAAGCCCTGTGCTCCAGACCCCTCACCAGCTTTGTTGTCCTCCTTTGAACCCGCTCCAGGGCCTCAATGTCTTTCTTGCAGTGAGGGGCCCAAAACTGGACACAGCACTCGAGGTGCAGCCTCACCAGAGCTGAGTACAGGGGCACAATCACTGCCCTGTTCCTGCTGGCAACGCCGTTCCTGATGCAGGCCAGGATGCCATTGGCCTTCTTGGCCACCTGGGCACACTGCTGGCTCACGTTCAGCTGAGCATCAATCAATACCCCCAGGTCCATTTCCTCTATGCAATCTTCCAGCCACTCCACCCAAGCCTGTAGCGTTGCCTGGGGTTGTTGTGGCCAAAGTGCAGGACCCGGCATTTGTTGTTCCAGTCTTGTTGAAAAAGACTGGAAAAAGAAAAGACTTACTCAGGTACTGCAATTATTTGCTCATGAAGGCAATATTTATGCTGCTGATTTACACTCAGCAGTTCATTCTTGCTGCAGGAATGAGAAGTCACTGTGCTGTTCACCTCGAGTGCATCGTTTGCATAAGGATGCATGAGGAAAGAGAAGAATAGGCCCAATTCTGTGCATTTCTGCAATACAGGTATTTGTGTCTAAACACAAGACTTATGGATTTAACTTGCCAACATAATCTGAAGGCCTTAACATCTTTGTAGCCCATCTGGATGTCTTCAGAGAGAAAACCCAACTTCCATATTGCTTCAGGCTGATGGGGGAGTGCTTCTGAGGCAGTCCATGGTGATGATTGCCGCTCTTCATGCAGCCCAGGTCTGCTGCATCCAGGCTGACTGGGACATGTGTTGTTTGGTACAGAGCCCTTCAGTCACCCAACCTGAATCAAACTCAAGATGGGTGTCCAGAAGGTGCCAATAAGTGAAATGGCTCCTATAAGGCAAAAGGTTCTTAAGAGAACTGCAAGCTCCCAGTGTAGCCTTAAGAGAAAAATCCTTTCTGCTAAGGAGCAAATCAGTGACCGCAGCGATATTCAGTAGTGGAGAGCAGGAAGACCAATATGTGGGAGAGCTGGAATTCACCTATTAAGGGGGAGGCCCTTTGTATGGACAGTGAAAATTTAGTAAAAAAATGACAGTACTTCCAACTGATATTGACCCATAAGTCCAGCAGCTGGACTCAGTGATTCTTTTTGGTATCTTCTAGCTCAGGATATTCTGTGATTCTTTGGCTCTGTGGTTTTCTGCTGTTGACATTCCTTAACACAGAGCAGTTCACTTAGAGCCCTTCTTCATTGTAAACTGGTATTTCTTTGATATAGTTTCATTTTTTCCCTTCTTATAGCAAAATCAATGTCACTTGAAAAACAGATTTTATACCTGAAAGCCTTGCTGAGAAGTTTTGATGCAACTCTGTGCGGTTTATATATACTTAGACACACAGAGGATTAGGAAAAATCCTAATGTATTTTAATAATATTCATGAAAGCCTTTCTTTACATTGTTGAATATTTCTGGTAGGATACAAGAGAAGATTAAATCCCAGATAACCTTTTAATGAAATTGATTGTTATAATAAAAAAAAATCCAGTGAAGAAAATATTGTAGATTAATATTTTTTAATTCCAGATGAGAAATTGGTGAAGATTATGCTGTACAGTGATGCCTAGAAGCAGGAGATTGAATTCAGCGACCGAGATCCTTAGTAGTCCTGTGACCCTAAAGTAACATCTACAATTTGTGAGATGAGCAGTGTTCTATAAAGTCAAAATGAGACAAAAGCAAAATGCAAGATTGTTTGAGCCTCAGGGCTGCACAATAGTAGTGACTGCTTTCGTGAATTACGAAGGATTACCCTTCTATCTGAGGAAGAAAGTGTGAATATGGTTTTAACCACATAGCTAAGTTTAAGGGCTGGCAAAAAGGGCTTGTCTCCCTTAACCCATGTCCAATTCTGGCTGCTTGTGCCTGACCCAGCAAGCTCAGGAGGCTGAACCAGTGGGTGAACATGCAGAAGGTCTGCTGGCAGACCTGGATTATTTTGCTCCTGGTGTGGTGCCTGCATTGTGGTGGGCACTGGCAGGAGAGGATAGGTCAAACATCCTGCCGTTGCACTGGATTAGCCATGAAGAAAACCACCTGCATTGAGCCCTTCTTCTGATCTACGGGTAGAGCTGTGCTTAGCAGAGTTTTCATAGGATCTGAACAGCCACGAGACTGCCTGCAGCAATATATAAGAGTTTTAGGTGGCCTTTTAAGCTGGAGGCAGGGCCTTGCCTCAGTAAGGCTTCTGAACTCCCTTCTATTCTGGAGATTTGGCTTTAGGAAGCTGACATTTTGCCCTCACTGAAAGCATCATCTTAAGAGATTCAGAATAAATGAATATTTGTTGTTAAAAAAAAAAAAAAAAAAAAAAAAAAAAAAAAAAAAAAAAAGAACTTAGAGGGCTATAAATACACTGTCAGAGCTGAAAAGAATAAGAGGCATTATCTGAAGCTAAAAAAAAGCATTTTTCAAAAGAAGTTGTGTGCAGACATGGGAGTTGACATAGGACATAAACCCACACAAATTGGGGTATTAGGTTTAAAACTATAAACAAAGATTTCAAGGTATATTTTGCTAAAGGCAAGTATCCTGATTGCTAATAAAACTCCTTCTCTGTAGTTGAACAAGGAGTAGGATCTCTAAGGAGGTCATACAAGAGGGGATAACTGAAGTCTTTGTTCACTACTAAAGAATTCAGAGAATATCGTATTCATACTTTCTACACAGAAATAAGGTCTGGAGAGTTACAGCGTCTTGAATGGTTGAAGGAAAAAATATCTCACATAAATTAATAATAAAATCAGCCAGCCAAAATTATTCACCCAGTAGTCCCTGTGGATGTCAGATATCGATCAGCTGTTCAACTAACTGAAGGGTAAACTTACCACATAAACAGATCTTGAAGTAAGCAAAATAGAAGATACCAGATCTTCAACAGGGCTCCAGAAGGTATTTGCATTTGAGATAATCCACATAGGAAATGTCCTAAACAATGCTATCAGTTGACGTGCAAGTAAATCTGAACTAATGGAAAACATCAGCCTGACTTTGGTGGAAGAAAGCCATGCCCCACTACCTACTACAAGCATCATCATATACAGATGATCTGGTCAGCTTGGTGTCTTTCTAGTATCAATACTTTTGTCAGGATCTTTCAGGTAAGACCTGTGAAGAATTTTATAAAGAAACCAAACTATCTTGAGATTAATAATTACTTATAGACCCATCAAAGGATATTAGAGAAAATGGTCCAGGTGCAATTTGTCTCAACACAGCAAAAAAGGCACAGAATGAGATTCTCAGCATGTTTGCAAAAAGTAAAAGGAAGCACATTATTAAGAGACACTTTGCCCACATAGTCAGAATGATGCAGAGAAAAGGAAAATAGCTGAAAAGGTAACTAAGTGCAAGTTATGGAAGTAATACTCGTAAGGTAAAATTAAACACAAAAATT